CCAAGTGTTGAAGTTTGAAATGTCAGCTCGTAAGAGAACACTGGAATTATTTTTTCCACTTCATCACTTAAACTCATGGCCAGGCTGAATACCTTGACGGAGAGAGATAGGGGTGTGGTAATGAAACCATTTTCATGGCTCACTTTTAATCACTAGGCAGAATTTTCTCATCTCGTGAGAAGATGGAGTTTTCTGCTCTTACTCCTCTGGTAATTTTAGCTCTCTGCCATTTAAAAAAGAACAAGAAATACTCAAAAACCTTGTACAAAACTAGCATTTTAGATTGCCCTAAGCCTGAGAAAATAAATGTAATTATTTTATGAGTGAAAAATTTTTGAACTGTTGAGTACACATCAGCTTCATAATCCTGAATTCTTTTTCATTCCAATTTTGAGAAAGCCCTGGCAAGCTTTACTGTCCTTACTTCTATTGCTTCTCCTACAAAGTTCCCCAAAAAGCAAGCGTACAGACACCAGTGTTAGCATCAGAGTTGGCACAAAAAAACCAACCAGCTGGACAGTGAAAGACACAATTCAATTCATTTAGATTCTCAGGAAACTGAATCACTCTAGAGACTGATAATGAGAAACAAAATCTTTCACCTTTAGGTCGTCTGTTCATTCTAGCTAGCATTTGCATTGATGAAAATTTCTGCTTTCTCATAGCTACTTCCTGACCTATACTAGCAATCTTATTTTCATTTTCCCTTCATTGCTAAAGGATAGTACCTGTTCTGGTTATTCCATTTCAGTTTTAAAGGATGGCTGTTGAACGGGTGCAACTGTCCAAGTAGCAAAAAGGCCTTAAAAGTGATCATTGTGTAACTTTGGCCTCATTCTGTTACTGACTGACAGCTTGATATCTGCAAAACAAAGCCTGTCCTCTAGTTAACACTCAGTGACAAACAGACTGCTGAATATGTGTTACCATCCTACAGGTGTTTTGCTTTCTTGCAGTGCTAAGGTATGTTTAGCAGAGACTGGGGAGGCTGCATTAGATCTACAATGGATTTAATGAAAGGATGTTCGTTTCCAGAGCTGTCATTTTTGTCACCTGTCATAACTGCTACATTTATACTAATTTGTGAGACATAAAAATAAATACAGTCCATTTTCAGATATGGAAAAGATTTACTGTGTGCTGGTTCCCAGCTGGTGTATGTTGGCATAGCTCTGTTGAAATGTAGCTGCAGTTTTAAACTGCATGAAAATATCTTGGATGCTTATCTAAGGGATGTAATGTTACCCGTTTTCATCAGCTAAAGCAATATACATCAATCATACTTTGTTACTGCCAGAAATGAAGAAAGTATTCAAATCCAAGAAATTTCTTGCACAGATTATTGAGAGTGCTTTTCTGTGTTAATCACACTATTGCTCCAGGGCATAGTTTTAGAGCCATCTCCCAGAGTAATGAACATTCCTGTATTGAGTAGTAAAATGACTGCACTTTAAGATATGTAATGAAGCTGATGCCTCTGGCTTGCTGACTGTGTGAGCCAAGAGAGTATACCATATTGATGCAAGATACCACTTAGGTCTTCCCCTGAGACTTTTTGCCATATATACATAAAACTTTCTTCTCTGAGCTCAATGCAAAACAGAAGACAGTAGGCAAACATCTGAGACCTGCATTCTCATAGACTGATCCCCATGTACCTCTTCAGGAAACAGGCATAATTACTGAGTGCCTTCAGTGCCTCCTCCAATGTGATCAGCATGGATAAACTCTGTAGTCCTGTAGAGAAGAGTACTATAGTGGGAAAGTTTACTGCAGCACAGCATTGTCCCCTCCAAAGATTTAGCCACACAAGAATGCAGTATCAGTGAAGGCATCATAAATCAGAAGTGAGTTTGCAACCTAGTTCACACTTCAGCCAAGCCAAATGGGGTCAACAGGGTCTGAATGCTGATCACTGGGTTCTCCGCTGTTGTTGTCTCATTGTCTGAGAGATATCAACAAGCAAATTGGTCAAGGAAGGCTGATATATTTCTACAGCCTGTTATCGTGGTAACACAAAAATTGTGTTTTTGATAGTTGGATAAACTGGTTCTAAGTGATTTTACATTTCAAAACTTTTCCATCCAGATGGCTATTCTCCACTGCTGAGCTTCCTGGGAGATGTATTACCTCCATTTTGAATTATTTTTTATCTCTGGGCTGGTCTCAGAGGAAGACAGATTTAGCTAGGGGGGTCATTTTTCTCTGTGACAAGAAGTTTGCTGCCCAAAAATGGCCATACTGAGATGGAAACTTGTTCTGTTTTTGTTAAGTACTTCACTCTGATGATTAAGTTCTTAAAAGACTTCCCAAAATCTTTTACTTTGAGGCACCAGCATATGTTGATACAGGTAATGTATTGTATTATCTCATCTGATAATTACCTTTGATTCAGAACTTTAGGTGGGTTCAGTGTTAAGTTGTTAGCTTTTCAGGAGAGATCCTTGACAGCCTGCTCATGATAAAATGCACAGAGGTTTGAGCGGTGCTAGGTGGAAGGAGTGCAATCTGCAGCTCTCAGTTGGCTTCACCATTGCCTGAGTAGGTAGGTGTGCTACACCAGGTAGAGCAATGTGAGGAGACAGTAAATTCACAGCTTGAAGTGCCCAAGACAGCGTAGCATATAAACTATAGCAATAATTAGCAATAATCCTTCCTCCTTTTACTTCTGAACAAGGATTTAGGGTGATTTTGCCAAATACCTGCAAACAGGCACTTCAGGGACTTGCATCAAATCCTTGCCCTTCTGCTGGGATAATTGGCTCTGACTGTAGCTGTCACTGGCTCACTCTCAGTGATGCTCTGCTCACTGATCAACAGATTCTCTCAGTGGAGGTCATGCTCTCCAGGCATGACGAATGCAGAGAAAAATGATACAGAGATTATGTTAAGCTCTTTCTTTTGCTAATTTCTGGCATAATTGCATGAACAGCATAAGACTTTGCTTGTGTGTTTGTTAAAATGCATTGAAGTATTTCTTCTGAGATGTGTTAGCTAATCAGGAAGGAATGGTAATTGTGTGACAGCATGCCATTGTTCTTCCTTATTAGCTGAATTAAACAGCATATGTAGCTTGAGGGGCAGTACTGCAGAAGGGAAGCAGGGATTTACAGGTAAAGCTGGAAAAAAAAACATGCAAGGAAAGAATGCTCACAGTGAAATAACAAATTTTCCTTCTATAATGTAGACAAATTCTCATAGCATACGTTGTTTAAATGAATGTATATAGAGGCTAATTTTTATCCATTTTGGAGAAAAAGGGGTGTATTCTGTTCTTGAATAAATGTAAACAAGAAATAACAAGTGTAAGATTAGAGACCAGGTGCTGTTTCTTGGAACACTGAATTTAGGACTGGATCGCTTGCTGGCTGTACCAGTTATGGTTTCCTTGTGGGAATTGTTTTTATGAGAACAGTCCTGGTTGTGATGTCTGCATTGTGCCTGATCGTCTGAATTTGCATGCTTCTGAGAGTCCTCTGGATTCCAGCTGGCTTCTGAGACACAACTGGGGTATCATGATCTCCTTGCAGGCAACCAGCACTTTGCCAGTGTACCAATCCCACTCCCTCCTGACAGAGCATTCAGGTGCATTTTTGGGTGGATTTGTCTGCATGGTGTTACCACAGTGGCAGATGGGATCACTCATGGATGTGCGTGAGAAGTCAAGGCTACACACAGCCGTGTAACACATCTGGAGGGCAAATGCAAGGCTTCTCTTGGAAGTGCCAGCTGTGCTACCCTGCAGCCAAACTCAACCTAGTGCAGTCACCTGGCTGCTTGTAAATGAAGATGCTGTTCACACTGAGTAAAAGGGATAAGAAGCAGATGGATCTGTATTTTTTGTCTTATTTTTTCAGTCAAACACAATTAATTACTGTAGGGCTCACATTAAATAGTGGTGTATGAGTATTGCAATCTGGCTAGAATTATATTCTTGAATAGGCTTTCCTGTCAAGTCTTGACTCAAAGAAGTGGACAAAATCTTGTGGTGCAAACTCTTAGTCTCTAGGGAGATATCCCAAGATAAGAGATGTGAGATGTTCTCTGATACAGGAAATACAGTCACTATGAAAAATGAGAGAAAATTGCTGAATTTGGTTCTGCATTCATGGATATACCTGCCTGGTTTAATGTAAGCTAGATTCTTAGTTCTGTTACTTCGCTATTGTTTTCTTTAAATCCTGAATAACTTCATTACCTTTGCCCACATTTCTGAATCACACACTATGTAACATTAAAATAGAAGCTAAAACTTTCAAGTATGTAAATCACCAGAAACACTTAAGAAAAGAGAGAGTTGGTAGTACTTGTAAGGTGTGCCTTGATTTTAGCAGAAATCATCAGGCAGGAATAAACAAGTCCTACAAATCAGTAAGACTGTTTCCCTTTGTGCTTTACTGGGTGAAGTTCCCTGGCCATTCTGCACAGGCAGGGGTACTATCTGATTAGCACAACTGAATCTTTGACCTTAAAAATGCAAGAAAAGTGCTGAGGGCATTAGTCTCTCATTAAGGATAATGGGAGTTCAAAACTTTTAGAACTTCTCAGGCTTAGGTCCAAACTTTGTACATCACAGTAGCAGCACAGATGTGCCGACAGGCAGAGCTTACTGAGGAGTGCAATTAATGTGAAATGAACTGTTTCCATCCGCCCCCTTCTCTCCGGCCCCAGGTACTTCTTTGCTTCCATGACTCCATTTCCCATCCCAGTTAAAGAGACTATTAGAACATGTGGCATATTGATAAAGAAAGTAGTAGCAGGTTTTCTTTTTTCCTTTTTTAATTTGTCTTTGAGGAATGACCCAAACATATTGGTGATATTTCTTTCTGGAGAATTTAGCTTTTCTGGCACAGTAAATTTGTTCCTGGAACACAGCCTACTATGGACACAAATTCATTAGCTGCTGGGTTATTACAAAGTTAATGATGAAAGACAGAAACTATTAAGTAGGATATTGAAATGTGCATTTAATTTTTTATTTTATTTTTATTTTTTTGCAGTGATACTGGAAACAGTCTGACACTTCTGGTAGATCAAAAGGAAAACTAATAACCTCAACTATGGAGAGAAAAAGACTACTACAGAAAAGGGAAATTGGGAAAAGACTTTCTCTGGACAGCAGCCTTGTGGTAAGAATTAATATTTACTGAATTTACTTAATATCTCTTCTGTCATAAAGATATAATTGTTAAGAAGGAATACTCATCATGTACATTTTAATGGTGTTTATCTGTTCATCAGAGTTTCACAACCTTTTCTGATTTTTAAGATTCTCCAGAGCAAAAAAACTGGAGGAATTTTACAGAATCTTAAATAGAAACATTGCGTCATCATGTGGAAGTCTGTCCCTGAGTTCAGTGGATTTACACAAGCAAAGAATCCAGAGAAACATACCAAATTTCTAATTAAAATTTTACCTCAGCCTTTATAGGGTCACTCTGCATTGCTTTATACAGTATGAGGGCTGAAGCTAGCTGTGGTCTTCTAATCAGAAATGCTTGTTTTACTACAGAGTATACTACGAAAAATTTGCTCACCATAGTGAATGTAAAAAATACTCTAATATCTCCTGAAAAAGAAAAATGAAGGCCACATGCTGTGAAGTAATTGCTTTTGCTGTATATAGGATCTGACTTATTGAGATTGCACTCTATATTTAGGTAATATTTTCAAGTGTTAACTGAGATTAACAGGTTTTTATAGCTGTCCTGTGGATCCATAACTGGAAAAGGCTCACAGATGTTAAAGAGTTGTGTGAGAACATAACCGTCCCAATGTCAAATACTCAGCGTGCTCTTGTAACTATCAGTGGAACAAATAGTGTCATAAGCAAAGCTGAGTGCACTTGTGCCTTCTCTTTGGCTTCAGTACAGGTTGTCATCTGAGGAAGAAATTTGCTCCTGGCTTTTGGTAATAGAGTTGCCTTTTTAAATTTAAATTCACATAACTGAATGGATGCTCAGAAGTGCTGGCAGCAGGTGGGTTTGGCGCTGGTAGCAGCAGGAGCCACATACAGTTTCTAGGGGTTACAGTTTGTCTCCTCATACCAAGGCCACAAAATTTAAAGCTTTGTTCAATGAACTGCTCTTCTTCAGTCAAAAATAATGAACCAAATTATTCATGAAACAATGCTTGATTAAATGAAGAAAATAATTGGTAATAGGGAATAATCAAGAACTCTTTTCCCAGACTGTATCAGCTGTCATTTGAAGCCCTTGTTTCTGATTAAATCTCATGTGTAAGTTCCTCACCTCTCAGAATATTGCTTAAACATGGTTAGTGACAGTCATCCCTGCCTGCAACACAGGGCAGCATGGCCTTGACAAAGCTAAGTCTGAGGCTCCTCTCCTGCCTCACTTGCACTGTGCCTTGCTTTGGCATTTGCTCCCCAAGAAAGATAACAGAGGCATTCAATAAAATAATAGGATTTCTTCTGTCCCATCTCTTTTCTCTGACATCTGTATCCCCGCTCTTTTTCTGCTGTGTACCAGGGGCAGCAGAGCACTCCTTCCTTCTGCAGGTTGTGAAGTCGTTTCTTCTCTTCCTCAGATCTAGTCTCCCGAGGTGCAGTTCTCACCCGTGGCATTTGGTCAAGTAAATAAACACACAGAGAGTGCTTCAAAAGTGGTTTGTCCTTTTTCTCAGTTTTGAAATGGAGCAGTTTCCTATAATGATGAGTTACATCCTGTGATTTTGCAAAAAAACTAGTGAGAGAATAAAAAAAAAGCAGTGAGAAGCAGTGAGTTCTCCCTAACACACACAGATAACTGAAGAACCTAATGACAATCTGTCTAAGCTCCTTTCTGCTCAAGCCTTGTGACTGAGGGCACTGATGGAGGGTGGGAGCCTTCTTCAGACTGTTCAGCCTGCAATGAAATCTGTGCTCTCAGCTTGCCCACACTCAGCTATGAGAAGCACTTCAAGCTTCCAGCACTATTAAAATTATTTTGGTTTTCTTCTAGCTTGTGGGCAGAGAAGGTAGACTTACAAAGAACTCACAATTCTATCAAATACACTCTGAGTCAGAGTAAAATTTATCAGGCATTGTGTGCTCAGAAGTATGTTTATTCCCAGGGCCATCCTCTGTTATGAGTTCGAGGCTTATTAGCCCTGTGAAACAGACTCTGACATAAATCCTGCAGTTAAAACGTACTGCTGTGGTCCAAACACAGGGCATGAACTATCAATATTTACATGGACGAAAGAAAAACACTTATGAAAACTCAGTACTGCAAGCTAACAGAAATGTTACCAACTGTGAATTTTGCACAAAGATGATGCTTAGTATGGCAAATCAGTACTGTTTTTACTGGTGTAATGGACTAGATCTAGCCTATGCTTTATGCATTAGGATAGAAATTTTCCTTTCTCTCAGGTGACAGCATAGTTTGTTCTGGGATGGGAACATGAAACTAGGTAATTCTGGCTTCTAAACCCATTTATTGCTAATTTGGTCTCAACTTTCAGACGAGTTAGTGCACCATGCATAATTCTTACATGTTCCTGTCAGTTTTGACAGTGTCACAAGGAATATTGTGTGTAGCTCTTTAGGTAAAAAAGTGCTTTGGATAATAATGTATTGTCTGCATGTTGAAATGCTCCTTGTAGAGGAGAAACCAAAACTGTTGAACTAAAAGAAAGCAGTGCTTTCTCCCTGCTCTTCAGCAGGTGGTAAGCAGGGCAGGAGGCTGCATACAGATAAAAACCAGCCTTCAGGCATTGGCTGTTGGTCAGTGCATTTATGCCAGTAAATGCCAGCTGAAGATGCCTGTGGTTAGCTTGTGATGCTGCTCAGGTAATGAAGGAAACGTGTGAAGGAAAGATGAAGGGAGTAATATTTTGCAATGTGTTTTGAACATATAAAACTATCATACCATCAGGATGACACACTTCTGTTTTTACAGTGGCTTCTTCCACCCGTGACAGCTAGAGGTTATGCTTTTCTGTATAGCTTCTCAGTGCATCTTTGCATTTTCAGTACTTGTGTAATACAGGTCAGTAAAAATGTTGTACTGAATGGAACACGTGTAACTAGGCTAAAGAGTGTCATCTGTAAATTTAAACAGAAACATGTGAGCAATGTTCACTGTTAACTGCCAGGTATTATTTCTTAACGAAGCAGGAGGGACATTTCAGGGAGTGCCTTCAGCAGCCTGTTAGTAAATCACACATGTCCTGTGACTCCATTAAATTCAAGTTGGCAAAATGAAGCAATTTGTGTTCTTCTCATTTTCCCTAACTTCTTTATTGTTACTTTCATATCACATGTCCCTCTTTATTACCTCTGTATCCACTGTGTTGCCACATTCCATCCAAGCCCACATCTCGTTCTTCTCATGTCTCTCCCCAAAGGTATTTTGTTTAACCTCTCAGGCATTCAGGGCTGGACACTTTTCTTGGAAAATCTGTCTCTGAATTGCTTGAGAACAACAGCTTGTCCTTGTTTGGTGAAGTCTTCCAGCATTATTTTATCTTTGAAAGAATTCTGATCTCTATGTGTTTAAAGGAAACATATTTCTGCTTTTGTTCTCTGGACTATGAGTTACAAATAGGCGTTTCTGATAACATTCCTCACCCTGCTTGGCAGGGTGTAGTCTTCTTCTGGAATCCTTTTTCCATTATCTAATCTACAAATATTATGTAGAGATATTTAAAACCAAAAAAGTTCCTTTATCTATTGGATTCTGAATGTATAGACTACGAACATAGAATTTCATTAATTTGAATGAAGGAGGAGAAGAGGAAAGAGATACTTCTAAAAAATAGACTTGCTTCAACCTGATTAAAATATGTATCTGGGCCTTCAAAATATGAATATGAATTTCATCTGGGTGTTTTTTGTATTCAGGTCTATCCCATCAAACAGTCAGATTCAGGCTTCAAATGATGTAGATCCATTTCAGAGACCAGTGAGAATTTTCACAGACATTAAAATGCTTTTCCTTATTACACAGGCACAGTAATGACTTTTTGATCACCTCATATAAAGGAGAAGAGTTCAGAGTTGTTTCATGTATTACTCTACCCCTTTCCAGTTCGTGTCTTGGGGAAAAAAGCTTTACAGTGAGGGTAAACATGCTTTTTAAAAAATGAAAATTATAAATGCACATATATAGTTACAGAATGAGTTTCTTAGGGCATATTCTTTCAATGAGTAATGGATATTTTTCTTTGCAGTTATTGATTAAGTGCTTCTGTTTAGAATTCAAATGAATTGCAAAAATCATAAGGTTGTTAGAATATATTTATTTGCAATACTTTGCTTAGCTCTCACCTACCTCAGATTGGATTGACTTCTTAGAATGGAATATATGATTAGTAAACAGAAACAGATCTTCTGAAAAACATTCTACCTTATCATGCATCTTAAATCCTTATACTCTTTGTACTCTTTGGGTTTTGTTAAAGAGAGGAGCTTTGCCAAGTGAAATAGTGTGAATATTTCATGATTGTAACAATTTTCATCAATAATTTTTTTCATGTAAAAATCTTTCAGCATACGTAGAGGGAAAAAACTGGTGACTGAAAGTAAATAAAGACAAGATGGATTTGTATTTTTTTCACTTCAGTTAAAAAATATTTAAAAATGAACTTGAAAACACAGGAAAGTACATTTAATGATTTTTTTTAAATTTGATTTTAAGAAAAATGCAGCACACGTTTCCTTAATACTGATATAATGGAGATATTTTTGATGTGACAAAGTTTCTTTGGTAATATTTCCAATTTATTATTCAGAACATAGGGGAAGCAGCTTAAACAGGGGATGCCATTAAAAATACTGATGAAAAGGTTGATTGTATATCAGATTCTCCTTCCAGACATTCCTCAACAAAAAGCAAAATGAAAAACAATTGCAACCAGCACACAGACCCAAAGCCAAGCTTGCAAATAACTTGTGTGGGAGGGAGAGAGAGTTAGAATTTATCACTGCCACCAGGGCCACAGGTCTGCTCTGTTCACTGGGGTGCTCTTTGAAAATAATAAAAGCCCTATCTTTTGCCTGATCCAAACTGCCCAGTTGTCTCCAAGACCCTTTTGATCAGGAAAAAGTCAATGTTTCAAGCTGTGCTCTTTATTTGTGTGGATAATTCCCAGCCTGACTACACACGTGGTGGCATTTAGCTGG